TTGAATTTTATAGGTTATTATTGAACGTCAAATTGTTAACATGCATTTTTTTTGAAATTTTCTTATGAAACGGGCAATATCTTAAGGGTCTTATATTTTAATTTAGTGGTCCAAAAAAAATAGACTAATTTTATCCGTCAGATTCGAAAAAGAAAACGAATATCAAGGCATTACTGAAAAAAAAAAAAAAAAAAAAAGAAAAACTTGTTTAAATGCTGTATTTACTGAACGCATTCTTAACAACCAAAACGATGGTATATGGCCTATCCAGTGCTCTGGATCGGGGTGAGCATCTCTAGAGCTTACAAACCTTCCTTACAAACCTACATTTAGACTTGTATAATAATTTTATTAGATAAAACGCAACCTCTGATATACAGAACTTTGTTCTCATTTAACCATAAATAAAAGGAAAAGATAGGAAATAAATGATTTTACGTGTGCGTATGATGTAGCTTACGAAAGAAAGGTTGATAAAGTGGACTATTAAAAGTGGAATAATGTCAGAGGGTTTGTTTACATCAAAATTATTATATTTACTGTAACACACAGCAATTTTGTAATGTTCAGCTACTACGCGTTTGTTAAATCTTGACGCTGTGTACGGCAGCAAATAAATAATACACTTGCTAAATATGGAGCTATAAAGATAGTTCTACAGGAGTTTTCCAAGATTGCTTGAAGTTAGCAGAACAGCTTTTTTCTTTGAGTGAAACTAATTTTCTTTAGGCTGGTTTTATTGACAGCTTGCTAAAGATTAATAACTTTTCATGCTTGATCTCTTGGCAGAATTCTACAAGTTTTGTGTGGCGTTCCATAAACGTAGCTTTAATTTTTAAATATTGTATTCCCCATATAATAATTCTTTGTTAAAATGTCATATGTAATAAACCTTCAATTATAAGTTATTTTTGCTTTGTTGTAAGAAATTTCTTATAAAATTATTAGCCGTCATCCTTGTATTACTTTCATTGAATAAAACAGTGCTATTTCCATAAAAATATCGTTTTTGCTTATTTTTCTTTGTACATCCACAATTTGTGACATTTCATGTAAGTGAGTATAATCTGACTGAAAACTTCCTACTTTTTTGCAACACTGCTGGTTAAATGCTCATTTTTGTTATATAAAGTGTAAAAACAATAATTAAATAAGTATTTTATTAGAACTTCGCACATGTCAGTCCCTTCTAACATACTTAATTTAAACTTTTTTTTTAAATAATCAAACTACACTTGTAGTAGCTCTTTTATTTGCAGGATGATGGAGGGGAGGAAGGCTATAATTTACATTATTTTTACTTGGAAAATCATGAAACTCTATTGACACAAACGTGGAACTGTTACATGTTACAACATGTTCTGGTAAGCTCCACAACGCAATGTAATTTCAAAAAGCTCATGTAGATCTCGCAGTTATATTATTCATTTCTCAAATATCAACTGAAGAAAAGTGCTCATCAATGAGGAATAGAATATTTTTGTGATAACCATTATGGAAGCAATTTTTGTAGTTTCTGACAGTACTGTTTACACTGGCATCGATATTTAGCCAGCACTAATACAACCTAGCCAAGGACTTGATTTTCACGACACCTACATGACCTAAATACAAATTTTTGGGAACCCTATTAAATTTAAGCCGATTAAAATGATTTTGGAAATATTATCTAATGACCTAAACGCAATCAAGCATTCTCCAATAACTTTTATTGATTAAAGATACTTTTCCCCAAAAAAATCGTAAATCCTTACGTTAAATTATACGGGGATCTGCTACACTGCTATTATATTAGTTTCCAAAATACAAATACTGTTGAAGACAATGCTGTAACCTAACACTAATATTTTGAAAGTTATATTTTAGATTTTGCAATGTCGTATTTACGTACACTTCAAAAATGACTTGAATCTAATTTTTTTTTTTTCAAGCGCAATAGAACTAATCTTTAACTAAATTTTAAAATTTACATTTGTAACATTTATTCGTCAGTCTTGATCTCCTTATGCTACTTAATTTTATATCATACTTAATAACATCTTAATGCGGCAGATAATCTTTGGATTTAATATGTGCTCGTTTACGTGGCAAAATTATCAACTCTAAATTGAATACGCTAATTATATATTTTACGGATACGTGCAAAACTTTTAATAAAATTACTCTTAAATCCTTACGGTATCGAAACTGACTTTGCGAGAAATAAACTCTTAATTGTCAAAATTTTAATAATACAATTGTACTAATGAATCAGAACCGACTTTAAAACTTATTTATGCAGTTCAGAACTTCTAGCTTTCATTATTTCTTTACAAAAATTGTATTGATCATGAACAAAATCACTTTTATCTTAATTCTAGCTTCATGATTCTCGGAATGCTTATGACATACTTGCGCTTCACGTTACACAATGCAATAAGTGCGATCGTGGTCATAGTCATGATTATCATGATTGCCGATTAAATTATCGCGGTACTGCAAAATCCATGGAATCAGATGCGGGAGTACAATTGATTTCTAAGAATCCGATTTCAGAACAAGCGAAACTGACCGTAAGAGGTATCATTGGTGATGATGATAGCAGCACTATCGCTGCTGTTTGGAAAAATTTACCCAAATGAAATATTCAAACTATCCGATAAAAATCATCTAACAAAAAATTTTGCTAAGAATCTTTACAGTTTAGTTAGTACGAAAGAAGAGTGCTGCTGCTCTGCGTAACATCCCAGATCATTTGTATGGATTGCATGCAAATTGCCCAAGTTGGTATAAGCGTCGCGAAAGTACAGACTATCAAACTGTAAAAATTAAAAGACATTTTCAACAAATATGCGTATAATTCATTAAAATTTTGGATTTCGGCATCGAATCAATGTAATGAGAGTGTAAACGGAATCATAGCTCATAAAACTCCCAAAAGTATTTGCTTCAGTCGCAGTTCTGCCGCTGACTTTCGTGTTGCAAGTGCTGTTTGTTGTAAAAACGAAGGAGAAAAAAGTTTGTTGGATATTAAAAAAAAAATTGAATTAACTAGTAAGTAAATTTACAACTGCGCACGGATTTAGATTCAATACAGATAAAAAAAATAAAACGATAAAAGCAAATTTTAAAGAAAAAAAATACGCCGAATTGAATTAAGAAATAAACACGAAAGTTTGAGAAAATTCAAAGAGAAATCTGAAGGAGTAACGTATCAGTCTAATGTTGATATTAATAACGAATCATTAATTAGTTCTGCTTACAATGTAAATTCGCAGACAATTGATCATTCTATTGTATTTTTCGATTTGGAAACTTCCAGATTGCACTCTAACGATGATATACTTCAAATTAGTGCGAAATGTGCAATCTATAAATTGAGTTTATATATTACCCCATCTAAGGAAATTTCTTACTCATCAATGAAGATCAATCATCTGCGTATTAAAAATGGAAAATTACATTTCATACAGTTGCCTTGGATACAACAGCCTTAAGGTGGCTAACTACTGGGACATTTACCTTTTCTCTTTATTAAATGTATAATCAAACCAAATGAATTAATACACAGTAAATAAAAATTGACATCAAAAATAAGCAACGAATTGTACGAAAAAATGAAGTAATCGAGTTTCTCATATCAGGCACGCTCATAGCCTCGAACAGTGTGCAGAAGATCCGGAGTTCGAATTTGTGGAAACTGTTTTTTTTTTTTTTTTTTTTTTTTTTTTTTTGAATTGGTTAAAAGAAAAAGAATTGACATTTATTAAATTTAAAATGTGTGGAGGAGAAGGGGGAGCATCAAGCAAAATCCATTTCCGCCAAACTTTTTCTCAAGGTCAAAATCTGAAACTGTTGATTTACCCTCGTGCATAACGCGCCTAAAAAAGTGTAACTCTAACAAAAATGCTTTCACCTGGTTGGATTAAGACGTGGTACTTGAATCAGTGGCAAGAAGCGAGCGTTGATGCAAGAATCGGTACATGTGATTAGAGACAGTAATTTTTCTATTCATATTTAACAGTGATGTGAGTTTATATCACTTAGGTATAGAGATATAGCGTTTAATGATACTATAGGAAAAAATTGCCCGAAGTATCGCATATCTAAAAACTGTTTAATGCGTACATTATTTTTGCTAAGTAGGTGCCTTATGTAGCAGGACTGCTGTTTTCACTGGAGAGTAGAGCAGAAAACATGCAATAAATTTTTTCAGCTTACATGTGCCTACTGTATGTTACTATTAAGACCGTAATCTACGGATTTACCTGGATAATAGTATAACTTTGTTTCCCACTGTTTCTACGTGAAGTGCTCTGAATGCAGTCTCAGGCACAAATTACAGTAGTTAGGCTCTAGGTTGCATAAAATAATTGGCTTATAGAGTTATGAAGTTATATAATCCTTAGGTTATCGATCGATAAGGTCAACAAGTTGCGAGGTTTAAAGGGCTTGATAAATCATGTTCTATGATAAATAATAACACTACAGATTTGATACAATTTGTTCCTTAATTTCTGTTACCTAATTAATATTCTTTGAGGCTCTCAAAATTAGTGTCTTAGAGTTTGAGTGTTATAGAAATATATGAGATCAGAGTTATGTTGGTGTATAATTAAATTTTGTGTTAAAAATGTGAGTCCCAAAATTAGCAGCTAAGTAGTTAAAGAAAATTTTTAATGTTATCGAAAAACGCTAACTTTCATATGAATAACAGTTTTTTGTGTGTTAACAAATAACAGTTATTTAAAAATAACGTTAACCAACATACTTGGCAATGATTAGCTACTTATATAGTAAAAGATGCTGCAGGTCATACTTGAAATTCTTAACAAAAAAAAAACTTTGATCAAGGTTCAGTACTTCCTGCATAGTCATTCATATGATAATTTAATTTGAACTGATAATTTATTATGATATTCATGATAATTTATTTGACTATGTTGCCTCTGCTTCGATTTTTATTTTGAATGCTTGATTATTACAATGAAGTATTGTTTTATACTTTTTTTTTTTTTTAGGATGCCGTTGAAATGTTTAAACTTGCTCAGACGAAATCAAATAGATTGACATTTTATCAGGAGTACCATGAAAAATCTATGCGTAATTTAGTTGAAGCTAAGAAAGATAACGATTTTATATACCACGAAAAAATTCCAGAAATAACAACCTTACCGAATATAAGTAAAGCTACTGTGGCCAAGCTTACACCTTTACCTGAAAAATTTAGCTCCAACTTTCAAGGTAAATTATCATTATATTTAAAATTAATTTTATAGTCTTAAAAATCAAGTAAGGCTTTCTGTCATGTATAAAAGCATACTTTTACACATAAGGAAACTCTTTTACCATGCAAATTATTCATTTCTTACTAGTTGACTGATGACTTAACAGAAGTATGCAAATCGTTTTTTAAGAATAAAATAATTTTACAATATAGCAACTTCCATTTTTTGCTAACCTGATTCATGTAGAGTAAGCCGAAGGTCAGTCGTTTGATAAAACTAATAAAATATGTCGATAATTTTTGTTAAATTCTGAGTTCAAAGGAAAGAATTGAAATAAGGGAGTATCCCCTCTATTGACTAGATTCGCTGTAGAAAACTGTTGTCCCGGCATAGTTTTTATTGCGTTGTATACATGTACATGTGAGTTTTAACCTAGCTTTTTACTTGTTTTTTTTTTTATAAGTAATTTTACATTTACTGAATGGTTATTTAAAAAACAGTAATGTGATCCTTATATATATATATATATTCGTCTCATAAAACAATATAACCTTAATCGTGATGTTATTTATTGAGATATCAATAGATAAAGAGGCAAAAAACGTGTGCACCCATAAGATGCCATGTTAAATTGAAAGACACATTTTCAATAATAACTCGCTTCCAAAACTGTGAACAGTCTCCAAATTTTAACTGGAGCTTTGTCTTGCTATTATTTACCTACGTTTTGAATGTCATAAGATTTTTGACGTTATTATACATAAGGGGAATACTCTCTTAAGCGGATATTCATAATACAAATGGAAAAAACTAAAACCGAACACTTAACTTCTTCCAGTAATGGTCCAAAAAAATGGTAAAAAGTCAAAACCAGTTTTTTGAATCAAAAATCTAGAGATTAAGTTTTGAAAAAGCTTTTATTGAACTATAGCCAAACCATCCACCGGTATTCCTGCAAATTCCAAAAAAAAACCATCGTTTTTGCTCGAAATATTGAAAACTCATAATTCTTTTTTTTTTTTTTTATAGATCAACAGCTGAAATTTCAACACATTGTAGCTTTTGTGTTCACCAATAACCATACAGAATTTCACAAAGATCGCATGTATATTTTTTTAAAACTACAGTTTGATGCAAGCAAAAAGCATTTTCGTAAAAAGGCCTATAAAAGTTGTGGTGTAGTAACGAGCAATTTTTTTGGCGGGATAACCTTCTTGAATAGTTTATTATTAACTAACTAAAGTTTGAACCTCTTTTTTTTAACATAACAATTGCTAAAACAGTAATGTTTAACAATAATATTTTATAATTGTAATTTTTTGCTTGGCTGTGCAGTAGACGAGGAGAGTTGCAAGGTGCCGCGCAAGACCAAGCTTACTCTCGACAGTTTGGCTCTAATAGCTACCTCTTCTATGCTCGCCGCACAGTCGAACCTGCGATATTTATATGTGTGCGTGTACGTATGCGTGTGTGTGTGGTATAGATACACTAATACCTAAAACAAAAATATATTAAATTGATGTACTTTAAAAAAAATACTAAATACGAAAAAATAAGGATTCTTAGGGATTTGGAAGGAGCCGGGACATTTAGGTGCACAAATAGAGAGGAATTGATCAATCAAACGTTATCACTAAGTTTTTGTTTATTTTTCTTCTTTATGTAAAAATAAAGAAAGTACATAGCATGTTTAATATATAACATACGGATGTGCCGAAACACTTATATCATAATGAAAAAGCAATATAAGCTAGAAAAGATGAACATAAAAAGGTTTACTTTCTATAGCATCCAGCCCAGTAACAGACAATTTGAAGCTTCACTTCTGCCAAGCATTGCGACACCCACAGTTTCATTCTTTTTTAATCTTTATGCTCTAGCATCTTTCCTGAAAAGTGTGGGTGTGCTTTTTTCCTGTCCATAGACGAGCATGAGACACTTTGACTTCTTTTTGATTTGTTCTATTTCCAGTTAGCTTAACACCTCTTGAAGACGTTGGGAAGAGGAAGGACCAAAGGGAAATGCAAAGAAAGGAAAAAAATCTCTATTTTCACGAAAAAATAATTGGTATTGAATCTTAGTTGTTTCACAATATGGTTAATATGCGTTTTACGCACCTTATCGCTTCGCCGTTTAAGAGCGTCTGAGCTTTCTTGTTTTTGCAGAGAGCCGCTGCTCTCACCAACCTGCCGTTGCTGCAGCGTAGAAACGATCTTCTACTTCTTCTTGTACTACGCATACATATATGTTTTCATTAGAAGTGTATCTCCTTTTAAATGATACTTAGAATGAAACATGTTCTTTTCAATGTTAATTTAAAAAGAGCAGAGCATGTTGGCCTAAAATTTTCAGTCTTCTAAATAAAATTCAGTTACAGACACCGCGGAGCAGGACCTCTTAGCCTATTGACCCCGAGTACACACATCTACTTCGTGCATGCTGTTTGACCTGCCTACCAAGAGTAAAAACTCCGTTTGAAGTCCATGAATACTGAAATTTGACTTGATGGCCGAAAGTTTTACATGCTTTAGATAAGGTCTGCTCCAGCTTTCTTTAAGGGGGCTCCAGAGAGCACTGTTACGAACTTAAAAATAATTGTGTCATATGTGTGAGCACCATCGTATATGTATATATGTAACTGTAAAAACTATATACTAATACAAGTAGAGTGCAATAAGTTCATGAATACTTTACGGAATATCTTGAATTTTTTCAGGGTTACCTGTATTTTGCAAGGTACCATCTGAAAGCTAAGATTTTTTTTCGTAAAACAGTTACTGTCCTAATATGAAACTCCTACACTATGGTTAGAAAATTAAGATGTGTTTGTGTTGCTCCGTAAGAGGTTGTGTATAATGTGCGATCTTTGAGAGAAAATATCTCGAAATTTTTCATGGTTAGAGAGATAAATAAAGATACCGCTGAATTCAGTGGGTTTTTATCTATCAATTAAACTACCCATGACCTCTCAACTCCTCCCGCTGGATGGAACCCTCTTGATAATCTGTTAAATTATTTCGGAAATAACAAGCACTTAGTCTACTCGCTCCCTACAACTATTTTAACATAACTATTTTAGGTCATAAAACGTTCATATTTTAACGTACATTATTTTAAACTTGCGCTCGCTTATAACACTTGTAGAAACTCTTCATTCTTGACGAATTTTAATCTAGATTCAGATGTTAATATGACATACAAATCAGCCTACTTAGTGTATTGGAACCAATGCGTGATGCTGTGGATAATTTATATAGTTATAATACTATTTTCTTCAATCAACTTTTTTCATGTGCATCGTGAATTTAAACAAAAGGTAATGGTAGTATTAATTTAACACGTTTCAACTTTTTAATATCAGTTTAACTTTTTTTTTTTACTAACATTTTTATGAAAATATTTAAAATGTGCAAGCGCATCTTTTTCTGTAATTCTTGTCTCATTCGTGCTACTCTTGTTACCATCTAAAATATGTATCTTCAAGTGGCGTCGTAAATGTGTTTGTCTTTACAATTTTTTTCGAGAAGTAATACAACCAACAATTTGACTAATCTTATGTTGTTGCAAAATTTACCCCATGCAAATTTTTTCAACCTGATAAATTAAAACATACAACTTTTTCAATATGTTGGCAAATGAAGATTCTTGTAGCCCACGAATTATAATTAGAAATGTATGGTGTTGAGCTCTGTTAATCTGTCAGTGTAAAAAAGTGCATGTGAATGTCGACCAACGTTATCGTTTCACGTATACATATACAGTATTCATGCACGGTGCTCCGACATACACACTAATACATACTTACATTTGATCTAGCAGGTACCGGCGCCCTCTGGCTTAAGCTTTACACCATACATTCCTAATTGATAGACCATTCAAATTATAAAATATGAAAGTAAAGAGTTAACAGGAATAATTTGCTGATTTTTTTCTCGAATTTATAATTTTATAACTCCAAAATGCTATGTGATGACTAAGCATTTATTTTTTTCACTTTTATAAATCTTCATTTTAAATATTAACATTTAAAAGACAGCTTATTTAGAATTATGACAGTTTATTTTATCAGTGAATATTATAGATTAGAGAAATTAGGTCCCCGACTACCAATCCGAAAGTTGGGGTTTCGATTCTCGGAGTCAGTAAAATTTGCAATTTTTTTTTAACATTAACTTGTATATATTTATATAATACAAGTTTACTGACATTCTTATACACATATGTATATACGTATAATGTATGTTATTTATTCATGTATACATATATGTATATATATATATATATATTTTTCTTTATAGCTGTATATACGGTTAGTACAGCATAATGCAAAAAAATCCCTATATACACGACAATATAGTTATAGTTGCCGTATATACGTGTATGTAGATATATTAGTTCAACCTCGTGTATATAGGTAAAGAGAGAAGAAGTGCCCATTGGTTGGGTAAACAGCAATAAAGGAGCAGACCAGACTTTGTTCCTTATTTTTAGTTACGCGGCTCCTCCTGGCCTGTCATTAGATGTTACACTTTTAAAAAAAAGGAGCGATCCACCCAGAGTTAGAAAGACCACGTAGTAGAACTGGCCATTGTAGTAAAAAATATTTTTAAGCATTTACAGATAAATACAGCAAATGTACAGAAATCTATGGTATTAAAAAAGATCAGAAACAGCAGAATTGCGCAGATGTAGCGCATCGGATCCGCTAACCTATTGCCCTAACACTATTTTGTATTTACAAAGGCCTGAAGACCTGTGGGGCAAGGAAAAACCCCTGGAATTACTTTAAAGGAAAATTCCATAAAAATTTTGCCGCAAAACAGCTGAGGTTACATAGGAACTTTTCCTGATGAAAACAGGTTTTTAAAAACTCTGCATTCACCGGGAATAGAACCGATGACCCCTAGAACAGCGTTGTATCAGTAACAAGCACGCTTACCACTGAGCCAATGCTGCTCTTGGTTCCTCCGTTATCTCATCCATTTAGTTTTACAGTAAAACCCATAACATACCCCC